CTGACTCCCCAAGCTGAACCTGTTCCCTCCTCACCCTGCTTGGGCCTTGACTCTCCACACCACACCAAGACAGCCTCTCTGGGTGGATGTCCTCTTCATCCTGATGAGTCATCTGCATCCCACATTGGGCTGCTCCTATGTAGCGATGTCATCCTCAATCTGTTTGACCCTGACACCATGCTCTGAGCTGTGATGTCTTCCTCCACTCCCCCTACCCAAAAACCACAGATACCTACCTTGCTCTGTCCCATCTAATGGCTTTAGAACTAGATTGATCAGGAAGGGAAGAAAAAAGAAGGCAATAGAAAGAGAAACATGAATTGCCCTCATTTTTGAAGAAAATTTTCACTGGGTATAGAATTTTTCTGTATTGAAAGATGCCATTCCATTGTCTCTTGACTTTCATAGTTGCTATTGACAAGTCAGCCATAACTCATTGTTACTTCTTCCAATGTAATGTGTTTTAGTTTTCCTGGCCACTTTTAAAGTTTTTTTCTTGTCCTGACATTTCTATGTGTAATTTTCTTTGTATTTATTCTCCTTTGACAGCTTTCTGAATCTGTGAGTTGATTTCTGTATCTGATTTTGAAAATTCTTGCCCATTATGTCTTCAACTATTGCTTGCCTTATTATTCTCTCCCTTCTTTCTAAGAATCCAGTTATATGTGTGTTATACCTTTTGATTATGTCTCAATATGTATCTTTTACTCAGACTTTTTAAATATTTTCTCTTTTATTTTTATTATTTTCTTTCATTATTTTCATTATTTTCTCAGCTTAAGTGTTTTCTGTATACCTGTCTTTGAGCTCATTGATCCTGTCATCTGTGTTCAAGTTGCCATTAAATCTATTCAATGAATTCTTAATTTCAGATTGTTGTTGAACAATCAATTATTGGATGTCTATTTGAATTTTATAGGTTCCAATTCTTTGTAGAAATTCCCTATCTTTTTATTTATCTTGTCCATCTTTCTACATTCTATGTATTTATAATAGCTTTGTTCAAATTCTTCACTAATAATTCCAATAGCTGAATCATCTGTGTTGTGGTGGTGAGATAAACACTTTCACTCCAAATTTGGTTTAAATGTCAAGACTGATGATAACAGACACACACACACACACACACACCACCAAGCGGATATGAAAATGTTATTCATATTTGAGGATTTCTGCGAAGAGCCTGAAAAGTTCTCAGGAAATACCAAAAATGGCTTCAGAGAGCTGAGAAAAGAGATTGACCTTGGAGTTACTAGATGGTGG